TCTTTTTTATGCAATCATCACATAAACACAGGGAACAATTCATACCTCTAAGTTCTGCCAAACTCAGAGGTCTCAAAAGGATGCAGCACTGGCTGCTCAGGAAGAATCGTAGTTTCATTGGGTGTTGCCCTCTCTAAGAATCTAGGTCAAGACTATCTCCACCAGGAGAATTTGGTTTTTCCTTCTTTGGCAAACTGACTGAAAACCATATACAAAATAATACACCTCTTTTCCCACTTCTCACTAGCGCAGATGTTCCCAAACATCAGTCCCCATAAATCACTTTGCTTCGTCTCTCAGAATCCTTCATGTCAGCTGGTCCTTCTGGAACCTGAAGTCCAACAACATCTGGCAATCCAGATTTGGGAATCCTTGCACTGAGAATGGGTGTTTTATTCTAACATATCTGGAGGATATCAGTTCACGTTATTGTATACAACTAAATAGACTATTATGAAATTGATGGTATTTGGCTTGAACTCAGTATCAGCTGATCTGAGTAAAATCCAGCACAAAGTTTTTATTTAAAAAACAAAAAATTCATTTCCACCTCTAGTATAAAGTTGTGTGAAAATAGATCAGAAATACAACATTGCCACTAGATCTTTAGGATCTAAACAACCATCTGGACACACAGGGAGGAGCAATGTGAAAGCCCTGTCTGAGGTTGCCTGTAGCTCAGAATAGGCCAGTCATTTTTCTTCATCTGTAATGCGAGCGTTTTGTTTCAAGTATGCATTAAGAGGAGACATTTTTTTCTCGTACTCTGAATGTACACCAAAAGCATGGCAGCAAACACACAAGGCTTGGGTAGCTCCGGACCTCAACAAGCAAGGCTGTTCAAGCACTTGAATGACCCCCCCATGCAATAAAGGGGTATGTGAATACACTTTCCTGAATGGTGTCTTCTAAATCAAAACACATCCTCCCATAATGCAAATTAGTTTTGATTCTGCCTCAGAAAATCCAAAGTCATGCTATTCAAATACACAAACCAGATAAGGGCTTAAATGTTCAATTAATTTATTCCAGAGTAGCCCCATTTGCTTCGGTGACCTATTCCTTATAAACCAATTTAGAATGGAAACTGGAACCAAAGGTGATTTAGCAATAGCAGACTTAACTAACTTAATGTGGAGTCTCCTGTGGACAAGAGTCACATGCATGACTGCAATTTAGTGCTGCTTAAGCAAATTAAACACAAACTAAGATATACTATAAACAAAAAAAAAATTCTGATCCAATTTAACACACTTGAGTGGTCAATGAAAACAAATTTGTTCCTGTTACCATGTAAACAAGGCTCAAAATTCCTCACTTTGTGACTCATTAATACTTTGGAATAACAGCAAGACATTATTTCACCTGAGGTACACTCTGGAATGTGGACTTTGTTCCATACCAAAGTTCAAGGAGTAGCAAAAGTGTTTCCCGAACAAGCAGTTATCATAACCTCAGTTGCTTCATAGTTTGAGAAGCTAGGGGTGAACAGTTAACACTACTGGAACATCTGCTTTTCCCAGTGACAGCACCTCTGGGGAGATAATGCCCAGTGTGGTCAAAGACAGCCTGCCAACACTGAAGACAAGGTATTTTTTAGAGATGTGTTTGCTCTGACACATTGGATGAAGAAGGGAAATGAGGCACCCCTGATTCCCACAATATATTGTGCTCATCCACACTGGGAAGGTGTGATAGTGTGAGTTTAAGAAGGTTAAGGTCGGTGAAGGGCTGTATGTGGATCAGAGAGAACTGCTGGATAGCTAAGTAGTTTAGGCATCTGGCTGCTAAGCCAGGGGTTGAGAGTTTGATTCCCCAGTGTCTCCTCGAGAGGGGATCCACTTGATGATCCATAGAGTCCCTTCTAAGATGATGATGATGATTATAGAAGGACACAAATGCTTAAGGAATAGACTGATTCAAGCAAAGGCACAAAGAGCGCACGTCCCCAAGCAGAGTTTTCTCGAGTGTATGCCTGCCTAGAGGCGACTCTATACATGGAAATCACCGGATGGGCAATATCGAAATCAGATTGATTATATTCTCTGCAGCCAAAGATGGAGAAGCTCTATACAGTCAGCAAAAACAAGACCTGGAGCTGACTGCGGTTCTGATCATCAGCTTCTCATAGCAAAATTCAAGCTTAGACTGAAGAGAGTAGGAAAAACCACTGGGCCACTCAGGTATAATCTAAACCAAATCCCTTATGAATACACAGTGGAAGTAAAGAACAGATTTAAGGAACTAGATTTGGTGGACAGAGTGCCTGAAGAACTTTGGATAGAGGCTCGTAACATTGTCCAGGAGGCAGCAACTGATGATGATGATTATAGAAGGACACAAATGCTTAAGGAATAGACTGATTCAAGCAAAGGCACAAAGAGCGCACGTCCCCAAGCAGAGTTTTCTCGAGTGTATGCCTGCCTACACAGTGGAAAACTTTTCATTCTGGCTTAGGGGAAGGAGCATCAGATAAAGTTATGGGAAACATGGGGTCTGAGTCACACCTCGGCTATGACCTCTTGAAAGGCATCAGCCCAGGTTGCTCTTCCTCAACCTCACTTCCCCACTCCTCAATGACCACCGCAGCAACACCCTCAGAGGACTTTATAAAGGTGAAATAAATATAAATTATGAAGGCATCTCACAGATAGTGTGCCATCAAAATAATTATTTCTCACAATCTTGAGTAAGAACAAAGCCCACAGTAAGAGTAAAGCCCAGGTGCTCTCTGTTCTGGAGCTTTGTGCTAATGATATTAGAGTAAATATAACCTTCCTCTCTTTGACCTCACAGTTTTGAATTGGGGTATAAAAACTAGTGGGGGACGGGGTGGTGCTGCAGGTTAAACCACAGAAGCCTCTGGGCTGCAAGGTCAGAAGACCAGCCGTCGTAAAATCAAATCCACTTTCCTGCCATGTTCCAGACCCAGTTCCTGCCAACCTAACAGTCAGAAAGCATGTAAACTTGGAGTAGATAAATAGATACCACCTCGGTGGGAAGGTAACAGCGTTCCGTGTCTAGTCGTGCTGGCCACGTGACCACAGAAACTGTCTACAAACGCTGGCTCTATGGCTTGGAAACGGGGATGAGCACCGCGCCCTAGAGTTAGACACAAAAATGTCAAGGGGAACCTTTACCTATAAAAATTCAAATTGCAGTCCCTACTCAGCTGTGAAGTGTACTTGGTGATCTGGGCAAGATATCTTTTACTTAATTAAGCCATTTGTGTGGTACTTGTTCATAGGATCATATCCCGGACAGGAAACTTTGGCATTAAGAAACTGATTTTTTTTTACACTATGACACAGGTGTTAAAAAGCAGGCTTTGTAAGGCAAGCCATTAGCCATCAGCTCTGCTGAGAAACTAGTTCCTTTTTTATATTCCTCTTCCTGAACTGTTTCAATTCCAGCTGGATATTACAGGAACATATTAAATTTAAGAAACAGAATGTAAACTTGGTGGGGGGGGTTTGGCCTCATCTTTCACCCACACTTTCCCCTTTATGTCTTGCCATTTAGACTGTAAGCCTGCCTGCTGGGACTCTTTTTTCCTTTTCCGTAGATCTGTAAGTTGCTCTGGGGCCTTTTCTGCTGATGAGTGGAATAAAAATAATTTGAATGAAAATACATACTCCAAAAGCTTGAAGAAATATAAAGGGTTAATGGATTCAAAAAAGTAAAACATGCATTACAACATATTAATACTGACATCAGCATTAACTATTACTATTTCTACCATAGTGCCATGGATGTTATTATTAACAATTCAGTAAAACTGCAAAAATAATGATCTAATAAGACTCTAATAGTATTTTGAACCCAGAGAAAGAAGGGCATATAGGTAGGTATGCCAAATAGTTGATAAACCAAGCAAATACATCTCCATCTTCTCAGGAAAATCCAACCCCTCTCCTTCCACATACTTTCCACCAAATATGCCAAACCATATGCCAGTCAACCAAACAAGACCACTAGTGTATGCCTCCTTGGACTTTGGTCTCATTGTTCAGAACAGGAAACATTTTCATGCAGACCACCAAGAAAGTAAAATAACGTGGCACAATCTAATGAGTTGTTCCTCTCAAAAGGAGTGCAATTTGTGACAAGGTACAAGACGAAACATAGTGTGGCCACAGGAATAAGAGGCCAGAGTTCCTGTACTTGGCATAGCTGCATGGAAGAGAGAACTGCAGGTGGCAAAGCTGGCCACACAGACTGTGCCTGCTGAAATTCCTACTTCCACGCAGCCATGAAAGAGATGTTCTCCTTTTCATGTGTCTACTTAAGGGAGAAGAGAAAGACCTCAGACTTTGGTAAGAAGCTTCAAAGGCTCAGTGGCAATGTAAAACGTATTCAACAGCATGAGAAGAAAGTTCCATGTGGCTTGAATAGGAAAATTAATGGTAATAACCCTGTTGCATAAGTTATGCCTGGAAAAAGGGAATTATATCTGCAGCAGGGGAAATTTTTTTTCAGTAATTAGATTTCCTCCTCCTTTCCTATAGCTTATCTGTCATGCAAATAATCAGTTTCATTATGTGAAAATCATGGGAGCTGTGGGACAGGAGCAGGAAGTCTGTAACTATGAAAAGCTCTTCTTGCTGGTAATATTACATGGCAGTGGATGTTTTAGGTAATTAAAGACTTCCTCCTTCCATCTCATGGCCCCTACATAATGAAACAGATTACTCACAAGTCAAACAAACCATAGATCAAAAGCAGGAAATCTTTAACTGCAAAAACTTTCCTCCATCAGTGATCTCATCAGCCCTGCATAAACATAACTTACTCAGCAGAATTTTGGCCAATACATATCCAGTGCTGATGAACAAACACTTCCAAGAGGCATCCAGGACAATGCACGTGGAATAAAAATGGGCAAATGAACATCAGTTCATATAAAACAGGACCTATATTCCAAATGATCTAGCCAGGGGGCCTTTTTGAAAGAGCCATCCCTCAAGGAGGTAAGAGGGAGGGCTTGTAGATAAAGGGCCTTTTCGGCAGCTGCCCCCAGACTATGGAATGCCCTCCCAATTGAGATTCATCTCGCGACAATGCTGATGGCATTTCGACGCCAGGTCAAAACCATCCTGTTCCAGAAGGCTTTTAATTGAAATAATATCAATTGTGGGTCCTGATTGCAAATTTTAGAGTATATATATTAAATGTATTGGAATTGTTTTATCTTTCTTACTGTAATTAAATTGCTGTAAGCCACACAGAGACTTTTGGGTAGTGTGGGCGGCATAAAAGTTGAATAAATGAATAAATAAAAATGGATGGGTCTTTCCTTTTAGAACGAATATGGTCTGTATTGGCTGTCTGAGAGAGGTTTTTAAAAGTATTGTTGGGCCTTGTTGCTTTGTATGTGTTTTTGGTGTTGATTTTGTTTGCCATTTGTGTGGTACTTGTTCAATCTTTTGTAATATTTTTAGAATTACTGTTTTTAGCTTTTAAATATTGTCTTCTATACAAGCTGCCTCAGGTCCTTTTTAAGGAGAAAGGGAAAGTAGTGAATAAATAAATAAATTCATTACAGAAAAAAGAGAGAGGAATATGATTTAAATGAACACTCTAGAAAACCAGCTTGTTTTGTTCAATCTGGCAGATGATGTGAGAACATTACCTCTGGCCACTAGAGCAAGCAGCCTCTGGATCTGCTCCAACTGCTTGCTGATGATTGTGTAATGTTCCTGCAAAGCCCTGGCAGCACGAGTCAAGTCGACTCAGCACTACATCGCCTTTCTGAAATGAAAAAAAAGGAAAAACCTGAACCCTCCGTACCATAATCGGGATCAGGCTGAACGGTCTTGATTCTTAGATATTCCCGGAAAAGAGTGACCGATGGGTCTTCTTTGGGATCTCTGTCCCCTAGCCGTTTGGGGTCTTTCTCCGGCAGCATGTCAGCAGGCTGAATACAGGATATTTCACCCCTATAAGAAACCAGAAAGAGTAGACAGAAAGTGAGAGCAGGGGAGGGGAATGACACTCTTCCTTGAATACTGCTCAGAGTAGATTTTTGTTGCTATTGCGACTCTCATTTCATTCCTACTGAGCCTTCTCTCATTTTATTGGGGTTGTGGCAACAGGAGGAAATTGCCTTCCTGCTAAACAGGTGGCATTAACAATTGATTTGTGATTTGAAAATGTCCCCAGAAAGGATTAGCTCCAAAAACTGGAACAGGTGAAATGCATCCAATTCAAAGCATAAATTAAGCCCCAATTATGAAGGTGAGTTCAGCACTATAGCAAAATCATCATCATGTCTTGGGCTGAGAAACAATAAGTTATTTTTTTCTAACTATTTGCAAATTAGCAGGGTGGGTTTGATTTAAATGAAACTGATTTGAATTTTTTAAGGATTTAAATTAAAGAAACCATTTTTAAAGTTTAAATCACAATTTAAATAATTTGATTTTTTAAAAAAATTATTTATTTTTATTCACTCTGCTAATTAGCTACCTTCCTTCCCCAAACAAGGCACAAGAAGTTAATTTGTTGGCTAACAGCATTCATTGGTACTAAGATACAGTGAAGCAGAGGTTTTGCATCATTATGCATTATAGGTGGTGGTCTCTAGAAGAGAAGGAGGAATGGTTAAAGAGTGGCCACAACATTGTTAGAAACTGGAGATGGTAGAGGCTGAACATGGGGTCCTTGGCTAGGATGGCCAAATGAAAAGATGAGCAAGGCTCTTGTACCTTTAATGGTTGTGTGGAAGAGCAAAATTCCATTTAGACATCCTTTGCACGTGGCCACCCTATGCCTGGCCCCATATTTATTAGAACCTTTGGGGCTTTAAGATCATGGCCTATGCGAGCTTTAACGTTTTAAATGTTGTGTTTAAAACTGTTTAATTTTACATTGTTTAAACATCTTGTACTTTAAATAATTTTCTATGGTTCTGTAACCTGCTCTGAGATCCTGTGATATAGGTAAAGGTAAAAATAAAGGTTCCCCTTGACAATTTGTCCAGTCATGTCCAACTCTAGGGGGCGGTGCTCATCTCCGTTTCCAACCCATAGAGCTAGTGTTTGTCTGCAAGCAATCTTCCGTGGTCACGTGGCCAGCGTGACCAGAGACGGAAGGCCGTTAACTTCCCACCGTGGTGGTACCTATTTATCTACTTGCATTTGCATGCTTTCAAACTGCTAGGTTGGCAGGAGCTGGGGCAAGCAACGGGAGCTCACTCCATCATGTGGATTAGATCTTACGACTGCAGGTCTTCTGGCCTTGCAGCACAGAGGCTTCTGTGGTTTAACCCAAAGCACCACCATGTATGATATAGGACAGAGTATAAATGTTTTAAATAAATAAGTATATAAATAAATATTGCAAACCATGTGTTCTAATATCTGCACACTCTGCTCCTGCAGACTCTGTAAGGGAGTGGGGCAGCAGAAGATATAATTATTGAGTAGTGCATTAAAGTTGTCTTGTAGATGCTCAGAGGAACACAGTACTGTACTTCTGAATTAACCTTTTTGCACATCTTTCATTTGCCAACTGATCCTCATAGCCACATTCCTGCACTTCAGTATTGCAGTGGATCGGCATCCTCTAATCAGCATCAAAAAACATCATGCAGATGGAAAGAACTCCAACCCCCGAGGAAACAGGAAATCAGTTTTAAAGCATTTGTATAACTAGCGATCCTGCCACTGTTTTACAACGTCTAAAACAATCTAAAACTGGAAGTGGCGGTCACCATCTCCTGAGGCAGTCCATTTCATTCTTGAACATTTCTTACTATCAGAAAGCTCTTCCTCATTTTCACTCGAAATCTCCTTTCTTCTAATTTGAATCCATTTGTTTTCCTTTGGCACCAAGAGAAGACAATCTTGTTTCAATCTCCAAATGACAGTCCTCAAATACTGGATGATAGTCAATTGGTTGTTTAAGTACATCCCGACCCAATCTGAATCTGTATTTAAATGTATTTATTTCCTGTGTTGTTGTTTAGTCATTAAGTCATGTCCGACTCTTCGTGACCCCATGGACCAGAGCATGCCAGGCCCTCCTGTCTTCCACTGCCTCCTGAAGTTTGGTCAAATTCATGTTGGTAGCTTTGATGACATTGTCCAACCATCTCGTCCTCTGTTGTCCCCTTCTCCTCTTGCCTTCACTCTTTCCCAACATCAAAGTCTTTTCCAGGGAATTTCATGTGTACACTGCTCAATTAGTATGGTAAATATATACTACTTTGGTGAAATCCAGATCAATGTGCTTTGAGCTGCTCTGGAAGTGGCTGCATCAATTTGGTTTTGGATTCATGTGTTTTCATGTTTCTTTTTTAAAAAGTGTGGGAAAAAAGAGACTATGATCTGGGATGGGGTGGACCTTGAATTAGAGAATTCATTTTAAGAAAATCATGCACTATTTCAAATGTGGGGGAAAGACACCTCTAAAGTAGAGTTTTGTACCAGGAAATGAATAATGTGCCAGACCACACTGTAAAGTGGCAAAGCGACAGAAGTGCTTGCCAGAAAATCCAGAAATGGACATGCTGTGCAAGTGATTCTCCCAATTAGTAATTCAGCTTTCAGAAATATGACTAAGTAGAACTCTAGAAGAGTGTGTTCCCAATGATAGCAAAATGCACCAAAAGTCTAACATGAACAGAAAGCTTGACTTGGATTGAGCAATGCTCAGTTCTTCTGCCAACAGGTTACAGGAGCAGCAGGCGTGGCATTTCTTTGTGGTGCACCCGCAAGGCAAATAGATGACGGGAAACAAGTAGAAAAGTGTAGCGTGAGGTTAGTTCTTAACGCTGTTATGACTACTCCATCAAAGCCTGCACCAGAAATAACACATTCTTCCACTCACACTTACCTCCTCTTATCAGTGTAATGCAAAAATGTAAGTTGATAAATATAAAAAAGAGATAAAACTCAGACTGCAAGCTTCCTAAAAGCTATACAGTAACCTCTGCCCTCCCTTCCTAAATATAAAACCCGCCTAATAAGAACATTATCTAGCCAACACTTTCTTAGCTAGTCACAAGAACACTGTGCAGCTTATCAAAATGCTTGATGAAATCAAGATATACTGCATCACAGCATTCCATTCATCTGTTATACATGTCTGTATCAAAAGGAGGAGATGATGCTGGCACAACTTGTTTTTGGGAAACCAATGTTGTCCCTTTTTATGTCATTCTTTTCTAAATGCTCACAGACCAGCTGTTTAAATATCTGTAATAGAAGTATTCTTGGTGTCAGGAAAGTGACCACTTGGGAGACTGCTCCCATTTCCTTCCCCCCTCCCCTTTTTGAAGGTGGGAATAACATTTTACCACCACATGTCTTCCGGGACCTCACTCGTTCTCCAATAAGTCTATAAACAGACACTCTAGTATCCTCATCTGGACCTGCAGAATTGAATTCACATGAAGTAGGTTAAGTGCTTCTGTATCACCTCTATTTAACCTGGGCAGTAGACCCCTCCCTGGCTCTGCCACTCTACTTGTTTCCCTCTTGGGAGAAGACAGAGTTGGCAAAGTAGACCTACCTTCTTCTGTGCCACCCACTAGTATTTCTGCATCCTCTGCGTGAAGCAGACCTGCTATTTCCTTGTACTTTCTTGGCTCTGAGCATAGTTGAAAACTGCTTTTTAGTGATTTTTAACTTGCAAGACTCTCTTGCAAGTCTGTGCTCGTTCTGAGTTTTAGCCCTTACAAATATTGGCTCCCTAATTCAGCCTCCTCAGTTTCTTTAGATGCCTTCTGCTTTTCTTTCCTATAGGAATCATTCAGGCTTATTATGCTTTCAGTATTTCACTTTTAAGAAACTCCCATCCTTTGTATATTCTTTTCTCTCTGAGTATTTCTGACAATGGGATCCAACTCCATTATTTCCTTAGGTTTACTGAAATCAGCTTTCTCAAAATCCAGAACGCATCTTATACTATTTTCAGCTTTCGCTTATCCTGCTGAAGAGTCATTATGTGATTCTTCCCTATTATTCTTACTCTCCAGAAGTAAGAATTGATACATCGTTCATTATTCACTTTTTCCGGAAAATGAGTGAACAGCATTGAGGTTGGTGGGCATGGAAAGAAGAGAGATGCTGATTAGTGTTAAACTATGATAAGCGTGTGAAGGCAAGAGGAGAAGGGGACGACAGAGGATGAGATGGTTGGACAGTGTCACCGAAGCAACCAACATGAATCTGACCCAACTCCGGGAGGCAGTGGAAGATAGGAGGGCCTGGCGTGCTCTGGTCCATGGGGTCACGAAGAGTCGGACACGACTAAACGAAACGATGATAAGCCCATCTTTTAAAATAGCATTCCTCAACCTGACAGGTTTCCAGATGAATTGACATCTGCAAGCGGGATCTGAAGGCCTTAGGAATGCACCTCAACAGGTGGAAAACCTTGACGTCTGAGCGTTCAGCCTGGAGGCAGGCAGTGCACCATGGCCTCTCCCAATTTGAAGAGACCCTTGTATAGCAGACCGAGGCAAAGAGGCAGTCCCGAAACAAGCAAAACCAGGGAGCTGGACAGGAGACAGATTGGATTTGTCTTCAGTGTGGAAGGGATTGTCACTCTCGAATTGGCCTTCTCAGCCACACTACATGCTGTTCCAAGACCTCCATACAGAGCACAATACCATAGTCTCTCGAGACTGAAGGATGCCTACATGAACTACAAATCCTGCCATCCCTAAGATCAGTCAGCCTGTAGGATTTGTAATCCCATATATGCGGAAACTGTTTGGCTGGGAGAACCATCCTAAAAACTACAGTACTGTACATAAAAAGCCATTTTATTACTAAAGGAACCAATAATAAAAACTGCCCCTAGGAGGCAACAGTAGCAACACAACATACCATTCTCTAGAAGGCCATGGCTCTTTAAAAAACCTAACTATTCAAATAACACATTAGAGATAACATAATAATATAATTCAATTCCTACCAATATTAAGCATAAGAAAGTAATTCTTCAAACTCTAGCTATTAACATTAACTAAAAGTCCAACCTAATATTCTCTGATTATGTCAAAGTAACATAATCCTGAACAGGTTATTTGTTCCCCATCATGTCTACTATTATGAAGGTCACAAGATTTCAAAAACAAGGGAAGCTTTGTGTATTCCCCGTAAGCTGCTTCTTGATACTATTTCTAGTACAGAGCTATGGGATTAGGCTAGAAGTTAACTACAAGGAATTGACTGATTTAAAAGTATGACTGATGGTGTGGTCTCATAACATGCCGCCAGGCGAAGGCCTTCAGACAGACAGTCCAGCAAAAAAACAGATAGGGTTTGAGGCAAGAAAGACTAAGGAGCAGAAGTTGGAAGCTGCCTGTAAGAGCTGCATCTAAGACAGACGTTCCTCAGGAGTGCCTTTGCTCCGCAAGAGTGGGGGAAACTATGGGGGAAACTATTGCCTCGCCAACCGTTATTAGAGGCACAACCTGCAGATCAACACTTTGTTGACTTAGCTGTGAACAGGTGGGCTCGAAATCGCCATCGCAGAAGTCTCTGGGCTCTTCTGAACTAAGTTAACAATACTCTACCATATCATGAGGAATGAATGTTGTCCCTGGTAGAAATCACTGTATTAACTGCAATAGAAGAGGCAAGGAAACTACCGCAAAGCGTAGTGTGGGTATAAAGATCGCACAGAATGAAGGCAAACTACAAAATGATCACTTGCCTGCTATAAAGCACCAGTGGGGAGTAAAAGCTGGCCTGTGTGCAGCCAGACACATGTGATCAGCTAGCTAGTAAAAGTTTGTATAAGCCTGCAACTTTTGCCCACTGCATTTGTAAAGCAAAAAATAAACAAAACAAAACAAAAAAACCGGAAGAGTTACAATGCTTAAGCGAGCCCTATAATAGGGAAAACAGCAGGTGATGTCAGAAAGAGTTGGAACAGCAAAGTTTTAGAACAGAGACAGAGATGGCTTTACTTCTGGTGTTTCAGACAAAGGTGGTGTGGGGCATTTCCCATGGCATGGGGCTGTTGAAGGAGACGCCGGGGGATCTGAATCCATTGTGCCGTCGAGAGAGAGAGAGAGAGAGAGAGAGAAAAGTAAAAGCAAGAGGCGGAAACGGGTTGCAGGAGGTGAGCAGGGCTGCGGCGGGGGCGACGAGGACGAGCACCATCTACGGCGGCAGGAACACGATCAGCAACCCGAGTGAAAGAAAGTACAGTAAAGGCGAGGGACCACGCCGAGTGGAAGTGAGCCGGCAGAAGAGCGGGGCTTATGGGGAGAGGAGGCACGGGCACTGCAGACAGGGCGGCTCCGGGGTGGCGGGGGGGGGGAAGAAGGCTCTGAGCTGCCCAGCGGCGAGGGCTAGAGCGGGATTCCCACACGGAAGGCTCCCCCGTCCGCCCCCCCTCACACACACACACGAGGGCAGCTCCGCCGGCCACCGCAGTCGGCTGCAACCCCTGCCGCTCCAGCTTCCTCCCCACCGCTTCCTTGTCCCGGCCCGGGCGGCGGCCAAGTAAACAAGTTGTTCCGCAGGCACCTTGGAAGCCGCGGCGGGCAGGTTGGCCTCTCCCTAGTCCCTCCCGCTCCCTCCTCCTTCCCGCAGGCAAAAAGGGGCCGGCGGCGGTGGTGCCCGGCTCTGTCATTCGTGTCCGGGCCAGCGAGGGAACTTTCCTGGGCAGAGAGCAGCGGACCCCTCGCTGAGGGAGCTCTGCTTCCTGGTTTGCTCGCTCGCTCGCCTGCCTGCCTGCCTGCCAGCCCGCCCTTCTCACCCACCTCTCTGCCGCCGTAGAAGCCACTGCTCCGCTCCAGCCTTCCTCAGCGACTCTGCTGCATTCTCGG